ATCGTAATTTGTCAACAACTTGTAGCACAGTATCTAAAAAGGAAACTGAGCCTATATAACCTGAGAACCATAAACAGCATGTCACTTTGTGCGTGATGAACCATATTTTTGGCAATAAAAAGGCACTGATTTTTTGCTTGCTATCATGGCGAAATATCATCAGTGACCAAGCAATTAATCAACTTTCTATTTCCTAGACATGAAGGACGGGCAGGTCTAGTTAAAAGAAGTTATGAAAGTTTCACCTGTTAATAAATGGGTATAATGAAGCAACTGATTTGCCTCCAGTCCTTCAATAAGATCCCATAGCTGTTTGCCATCGAGAACCTGACCTCTAAATGTTGGGTATCCTGAGATAACACATAACGGGAAATCGGGAATTGTTTAGGTGTCCCAAGCAAATTGCACGTGAGATTCTGTACGCGTACGATGTATCTTTACCTGTATGATTAGAAAATTGTACAGAGTTTATTGGATCCACATCAAAGCCAAGGAGTTGCAGGGGAAAGACGGACGATTTGTTGCCAACATACCCCTGAATTGGAGCAATCAGAGAATGAGAAGAGCATACTATGAAATAAGAAGGTGAAAATGCTTAACAATTCCTACTCTGAATCAAAATCCATGCAGAGTATTTTGGCTGAACAAACCCGGAATGAAACACAAACTCGTGACCACCCGTCATACAAAAGACAAAGCGGACATAACCACTGATCCCTCACACAAATGATTGTGCCACCACTTAGTAAGCGACAGTCACACCGATGACGTGCGCACAAGCGATTGTGCCACCGTTTAGTAGGCGACAATCACAGCAACTGCCACCGTTTAGTAGGCGACAACCACGGCAACGATGTGAGATCACGCGGCTTGCATGGCTGCATCTTATATATATGTCATCAACACATCAAGGGAACACTTGCAGGAACCAAACCGAAACCTACATGCAGGAACCCATATCCAGACTCCATAGAGCTGTGTTCTTAGCCTAGTCCACATGGTACAACCCACAAAACCACTGGTTTGCTGCCGAATTCAAAACATGTGGACCATGAGAAGCGCAGCTCTACATCCATGTCCGAATGCGCAAAGACATAGAGGCAGTTGCAGAGTCCGAGAGTCCGGGCTCCTCTTATCATCGAGGGGAGCAAGCAGGAACCCAGATAACAGATGGATGACAGGACGGGATCAGGCAGGGCAGCGGCGATGGACCTGGACGGTGTGGGACTGGATGCTGAGCACGCGGCCGGTGTCGGACGGCAGCGCGACGGACAGGATCGGCGGCCGCGCCATCTTGGGGTAGACCGCCGCCGCCCTCCTCGTCCTCGTCCTCCGGCCCCTCCGCGTCAGCAGCTGCAGCGACCACCACGGCCCAAACGCGTCCCTGCAGGCACAGCCACAGCACAGCGCAGCCGACACGCTTTAAGCGAGAACCAATGCACTCCCGGTCAAAACTGGAACACGAGGAGGAGAAGGAGAAAGCAACCGAATCCGCTAGCCTCCCTTCTGAATCCACCACTGACCTCACCTCACCTGTTCTGCCAGGTTGACCAGTGAGACGATTGCTTGTTCGATTTTGCTCTTGGGAAAAAAATTATCTATCTAATAATTATTTATTTAAATTAAATACTGTTGCTGCTGCAGCACGCTCTGCACGCGGCCTGTTGCGTCACGCACCTGGGGGAGCAGCGTGGCGCGGCGGGGCGTACGAGGCGCGCGCGGGAGGGAGCGCGGCGACGGCGGCAGTCATGCGACGCACGGACGGCGCGGGGGGGGGCGGGGCGCGCGGGCGGCGGAGCGGAGGGACTGGGAGGCGCGGCGCGCGGACGGCGGAGTGGACCGACGGCCGGTGCGGTGGATGGCGATGGGATCGTGTACGGTCGGGAGCGGCAGCTTGGCGGGATCAGGGCCGTCCGTTACGAAAGGGACGGGCCGGATCCTCGTCGTGCTCGTGGGAAGTGGAGGGAGCCAAACGACGACACGACCGCACCATGGCGGCGGGCTCGACAAGTTGGGCTTGGTCCTAGGTTCCCGATTTAGGCCCGACGGAATGGAATGGCGCCGGAGCATTAGCAGGCAACGGGCCGGCACGCACTCACGCTGCGGGTGTCCTCGGCCCGGTAACAGCCCAGGCCCAGACACCGCTACGTGGCTGTCGCCGACGCGACGACTCCTGTGGGACTGGGCAAACGCGGTCGTCGCTGACCGCCTGGCCGTGACGTCAGACGTCCGCATGTGCTGTGTGCATGCTGCTGCGTACGTACAACGTCCTGCGGTCTGCAGCAAGCCAGCGAGTCGATCTCACGCGCACGGGAAAAAAAAAACAGGAGAACATGAAGCAAGTTAGCAAGAGGTGCAAAATAAAATACTTGTGAGGAAAATGTGAAACGGGCACAGCTTAAAAACGAGACAGATTCGTACGATAACACGCACGCAATGTAACTAGTCTATCACATCAGGGATATCAGTCTACTAGCTCGTTTTCCCTCACGGGGAGAAGTTTCCTTTTCCATTCACGTGGAAATCTGTGCTCACGTTAGTTAGGATGGCTCCTAATAATCCTAATAAAGAAACAAGAAATTTGCGGGTTTAATTTATTGGCACGCACAATAAACTCGGAGACCTATTGATTTCCTATCTGGCTTATTAGATGAAACAACCCCCATTTTATGTACTGCATCATCATCATTATTATCATATATACTCAAACATTGTTTTCTTTTTCAAAAAAGGACGACAAATTATTATTATACGTATATAAGCAAAACCATCCCCTGCCAAACAGCTCAAAGGTTAGAGAGCGGTTCGATCTGGACTCTGGTTATGGTACATATGCTCTGCCCTCGTGTATCTTACTCCCTCCATCCCAAATTGTAAGACGTTTGATTTTTTTTGGCTTCAAGTTTGACCACTCGTCTTATTCAAAAAATTTGTGCAAATATAGTCAAATTTAAGTCATTTTTGAAGAATTTTTATTAATAAACCAAACACGACGAAAGAAGTGATATTTTACACAAATTTTTGAATAAGACGAGTGGTCAAACTTGGTGTCAAAAAAGTCAAACGTCTTACAATTTGGGATGGATTGAGTAAGTAGCAAATAACACTGCCAATGTTTGTCTTGGTTTGTTTTCCCTGGTATGGCGGCCATAAATAAAAAGTAATCTTGTGTATGTCATGCGTCTCTATATATACATTCTACAACACACATTAGGAGGATTTGTACACCCAATATACCTATAAATTCTACATTAAACATTGAGCATGTGAAGTAACAAAGCCATGTTAGATATTCATGCAAAAGGGGAGATAAAAAAATGGCAATAAAATAAAGCAAAATACATCTGAAACAATTTTATTTAGCTACCAAGAATCCGGTTTTACTCTTACATTGATGCTTGACAATGACAGACCGGCAACGTCGCAGTGTCGTTTTGTACTCAAAAGCCATGCTTCTCGCTTAGTAATGCATGCATCTTGTCTGTCATCCTTATCTATCCAAGCCTGTTACCGCTAAAAGGAAATCCCGATAGATGTCTGCCAAAAAAATCTTACGGAAGCTAGCGCGGAGTGTTTTGTGCGTTTCACCTAATACATTATTGCTCCAATATCTTTCTACCAATATTTTTTCTGTATGCGTACACTAGGCAATAAATGTCGCAAAAACCTACCAAAACAATAACTGCTTTAGTCTTTGTAGGTTAAGAAAACCATGGGCGCATAAAAATATATAAACACGAAAACAGATACTTCTTATAAAAAATAGGTAAATAACCTACAATCACTCTCAATGACACCAAAATATAGCAAAACAATAGTTTATTCTTTCAAGACCATTGCTGATTATGGGAAAATCTAATAGATCGCTCCTAAAAGATCTTATGAAAGCTGGCGCAGAGTGTTATTTGGCGTTTCACCTAATACATTATTTCTCCAAAACCTTTCTACTACATATTTATTTTTTCTATATACTATACACTACACAAATAAATGTCGTAAAACCTACTACGATCATCATATCGTATCTTCAATCTTTTATGGATTCGGCAAACCATGGGCACGCAAAAAAAAATATAATATCTCTAATAAAGAGGAGAAAAATGATCTGCTACCCCTCATAATAAGAACAAATTAAAAGGAAACAAAAGTTTATCTTTGTAAGGCTGTTACATTAAGGAGAATCCCGACAAATGTGTACCCAAAAACTCTTACGGAAGCTAGCGCAAGGCGTTATTAGGCATTTCACCTAATACATTATTATTGCCCTAGTATTTTTCTACTACTTATTAATCATTTTTTCTGTCATTTGCTATACACAAGATGAATAAATGCCGCAACACCCATTGTTGTTGTAGACATAACTTCTAAGCGTGTTCGGCTCGTCTTGTCTCGGCTTGTTTTATCTTATCCTCTCTCACAGAACACTACTGAATCAGCCGAAACCAGTCGGAACCAGCCAGTACACAGTAGTTTTGTGTACCAGCCGAACGGGCTCTATAGAAACCACGAGCACAAAAAAACATAAAAAAAATAAAAAGAGTATCTCTAATGAAAAGGAAAAATGTTCTGCAGACACCAACTAAAACAAACTACAGCAAAACAAAACAAAAGTTCATGCCCGACAGGAATGTAGGTCTAAGAACACACCAGCACATAATTCCAAACACGTTTGGTTTTATTTGTCACACAAAAAGCAGTCGCGAAAAGGTAAACAAAGAAAAAGAATGGCGAAATAAATAAAACCACCTCTGCACCTTCATTGCCTTTCGTCCCTCGATAAGCACGTAAATAAATTTGATTTTTGTTTTTCGTCGTCGTCCTCTGCTTCAAGTCCCTTCTGGCCTTCTTCTCCACCTCCGCCTCGGCGTCGTCGTGCCCTTGGATCTCTCCTCCCATTTCCACGCGGAGGGGAGGCGTCGGCGCAATACAAGGCGGCGCCTTTGCTTCGCTCCTCCCCGTCCCCGGCATGCGGAGCTAGCCTCGCGGCTGGGCCCCACGCCATGCAGACCACCGGGCCCGCATCGCCGGATAAGCCGCCGGCTGTTGAGCTGGAGGCCAAGGACAGGGGTGGAGGAGGGGCGCAGGTGAAGGAGGAGGACGAGGCGGCGGCGAAGGTGGGCGGCGAGGATGAGGAGGAGGAGGAGGGGAGGGGGAGCAGGAGGGAGGGTAGGCAAGCGGCAGCAGCGGCGCGGGCGAGGCGGTGCAGCGGGGACAGCGCCGTGGCCATGGTGAAGCGGGACCTGCTCGTGCGCTGCTTGACGTGCCCGCTCTGCGACCACCTGCTCCGCAAGGCCACCACCATCTCCGAGTGCCTGCACACATGTGAGTCCATTCCTGCTCTGCCTTGTCTGCTCCGCCGCCCCGCCGATCCCGGCGGGCTCGAACGCTTGCATCTCTACGACGGTTCTGTGCGTTTCTCTGAGCGTTGCCCGCGATGGCGATTGGATTCGACGGGCGTCCGCCTCGGCCTTGGGGCTGCTCCGGATTTCGTCGCCCGGGGGGGTGCGGGGACGTGGGTCGGCGCCGTCGGGCTCGGCCGTTCCCGGTGGCCCGGCGACGCTGTACAGCCTTCTCCTCGTCGCCCATGCGCGATTGCGATTCTCGACGTGCGTGCGTGCGTTCCGGGCCGTGCTGTAATTTCGCCCCTCGAGTCTCTGACTCCACGTAAATCTAGTTCGAGTTGACCATGTTTGGTAGCTTTCCTTGCTTTCTATTCTTGCCTTATCAGGCTGAGCTGCAATTCTGTTTATTGATGAATCGTGATGCAATATTGCATCAATGCTGGGCTTCAGCATGTGCATTTTACGTGGACTCGGATTCCAGTGCTGTTGATTGGCCATCTTTTCCCCCAACCCTTGAAATGCTTTGGCTCCTGTTGACATAATGTTCAGGATGACGTTATGTAAGCCTCCGGTGCTGTGATTTGAGTTGCTAGTCAGTTTGAGTTCATGGTTAACATTACTCCCCCTCTAGGTGTTCAGTGTGAGTTCAACGAATGTTGGCCTGTAATCAGTGGAGCTGTACACAAAAACTTTTGAGGCGACAATGTGCAATCATAGACTGTAAATAGTTGAAACTACTTGTGTCAAGGACGTCAGGTCCGAGACTAGCAGGACCCCGGCTACGGAATTCGTAGCCGCGACCCGTGGTAGCTGGGCGAGGTTTTGCCCCTCAGCTCCAGTCGGTTTAGAGGAGGAAGAAGAGAGATTAGGTAATGATTCTTGCTTGATTATTATTCATCCTGATTATTCTCATATATAGGCCATTCGGCACTACAAATTGGAGCTAATTGCTCCTAAATCGAAGGCCTTGATCGGCTATTATTTCCTTCTAGCCACTTGCCATTTCTTCCTGATCTGCATGCCTGGAGATCACGCCCATATCTTCAGCTGGCGCGCCTGCCTGCATGGTGACCGCGCCCAAATCCTCCGTGGCTCTGCGGCCATCCCGGGCGCGCCGTTTCCTTGTATAGGCGTGGCCCCACATGACATCTCTCCCCCCCTCGACGAGCAGCTCGTCCTCGAGCTGGAACGTAGTGTACTTGTGGAGGAAGGAGTCCACATCTTCCCAGGTTGCAGAGGCCGCGGTTTCGCCCTTCCATTGGATGAGCACCTGTCGAACGCCGCGAGCCAGTCGGATGCGCACTGCCCGTTCGGGCTCCGGAACAGCGGCGCCGTTGTGGATGACCGGGAGAGGTGGCGGTGTAGCCGGCGGATCACCGATGAACTTCTTGAGGAGGCCAATGTGGAAGACGTCGTGCAGCCTAGTGTGCGGAGGCAAGGCGAAGCGCATGGCAACCTCATTGATGAGCTCGGTGACGCGGTACGGCCCGAAGAAGCGAGGCTTCAGCTTCCCTGTGGTCGCCTGGGGCAGTGAGGCGGCCGGGCGATGGCGTAGACGGAGTAGAACCCAGTCGCCCACCGCGTAGGAGACTTGATGGTGCAGCTTGTCGTAGTGCAGCTTCTGGACCGCCTGGGCTTGTTGAAGCCGGTAGCGGATGTCCTCCAGAAACTCGTCGCGGTCTGCCATGCTCTTGGCGACGGCAGCGACATGAGTCTCGCCCGGCTCATAGGACCGAATGGTAGGCGGGTCCCGGCCGTAGACCACCCGGAACGGCGTGTCGCGGAGCGAAGTTTGATAGGCCGTGTTGTAGATGTATTCCGCCCATGACAGCCAGCGAAGCCACTGACGGGACCGGTCGCCGGTGAAGCAGCGTAGGTACATGACAATGACACGGTTGGCTGCCTCCGTCTGGCCATCCGATTGCAGATGAAAAGCTGTTGTCATGTGCAGCTTGGTGCCCATGAGGCGCATCAGCTCCCTCCAGAACTTGGAAGTGAACACCGGATCGCGGTCGGACACCATCGACTGAGGCATGCCGTGGAGTCGAACAATGTCGGTGAAGAAAGCCTAGGCCACGGACTCTGCCGAATACGGGTGAGCCAGGGGAATGAAATGGCAATACTTGCTGAAACGATCCACTACTGTCAGTATGATAGATTTTCCCCCGACACGCGGCAGCGCTTCCACGAAGTCCAGACCGCCTTCGGGACCGGCAGCGGCATCAGTAGGCCAGCCAGATGAAGACGTTCCGATTTGTATCGCTGGCAGGTGGGGCAAGCTCGGACGTAGTCCTGGACCAAGCGGCGCATGTTGGGGAAGTGGAAGTCGCGGCGGAGGCGGTGCATGGTGCGCTGCACACCCTCGTGGCCGTCCTAGTGCACGGCGGTCATGATTTCCGGCAGTAGTGGTGACGCTGGAGGAACGTAGAGGCGGGAATCATAGGCCACCATGCCGTCGATGAGGGACCACGGCGCCGCCCGGGTGCCTGCAGTGATCTCGTCCCTGATGGCGACGAGGGCCGGATCGGTGTCCTGAGCCTGGCGGAGGCGCTCGATGTAGTCGAACCGAGGCGTGGAGATGGCGAGGACAGCGCCCTCTTCAGTGTCGCGGCGCGAGAGGGCGTCGGCCACCGTGTTCGTAGCGCCGGGCTTGTACTCAACGGTGAAGTTGAACCCGAGGAGCTTGCCGACCCAATGATGCTGTGGGATCGTCGCGAGGCGCTGGTCGAGGAGAAATTTGAGGCTGTAGTGGTCCGTGCGCACCAGGAAGCGGCGTCCCCAGATACGGACGCCAATGACGGATGGCGTGGACGAGGCCGATCGCCTCCGTTCAGAGGCGGCGAGGAACGGTGTCGCGCGCTGACGGGGCCTTGGCAAGTAGGCGATCGGGTGTTTCTCTGGATGAGCACTGCCCCGAACCCGTGGGTCGACGCATCGCACTCGACGACGAACGGCTTGTCAAAGTCCGTCAGGGACAGAACCGGAGCCAAGGTGACCGCGGCTTTGAGGGCCTGGAATGCCGCGGTGGCGTCGGGGGTCCAGCGGAACCCTTCCTTCTTTAACAGCGCCGTGAGGGGAGCCGCAATGGTGCCGTAGTCGTGGACGAACTTGCCGTAGTACCCCGCCAAGCCAAGGAAGCCTCGTACTACACGCGCCGAGCGGGGCTGGGGCCAGTCACGGACCACCTGCACCTTGGCGGGATCCATGGCGACACCGGCCTCGGTGATGACGTGGCCCAGGTAGGAGATGGAGACGACCCCAAAAGCGCACTTAGAACGCTTGACGAAGAGCCAGTGCTGCTGCAGCACGGTGAGGACGGCATGGAGGTGCCGGAGATGATCCGCCCAAGATGAGCTGTGGATGAGGATGTCATCAAAAAACACGAGCACAAACCGGCGAAGGAAAGGGCGCGGGGACGCCGTTCATCGGTAACGAATGTGGCGGGCGCGTTGCACAGCCCGAACAGCATCACCAAAAACTCGTCTGACCCGTCGTGTGTGTGTGAACGCCGCCTTAGCGATGTCGGCGGGGCACATGCGGACTGGTGGTAGCCCGAGCGAAGGTCCGCCTTGGTGAAGAACTTGGCGCCGGGAGTTCGTCCAGCAACTCATCAACCACTGGGATGGGAAAAGCATCCTTGACGGTGATCGCGTTCAAGGCGCGGTAATCGACGCAGAACGCCACGCGACCCGTCGGCCTTCTTGACGAGGAGGACCGGGAAGAGAAGGCCGAGGAGCTTCGGCGATGAGCTCCTCGGTTCAGCATGGCGGCGCATTGCCTCTCCACTAAATCTTGTCAGCGTCGCCGGTACCGTAGGGCGGACCGCCACAGTCGCGATCATGGCGGGAGGATGATGCCGTGGTCGCGGCCGCGAGGGAGGAGGCGACCCGTGGGGCTCGGCAAGACGCTTGAGAAGGAGTCGAGGAGCTCGCCCAGCCAGGTGGCGCCGGCGATGAGTTGCGCGGAGGTCGGGCGCGGCAGGCTCGCCATCCGTGCCGGCCAGACGCCACGCTGCTTCCGCTTGAATGTCATCGTCCGGGCGCGGAAATCCCGGAGGATCGGCCCAATGACGCGAGCCATCAAAGTCGAGGGACCACGTCGTGGCCGGGCGAGAGGCATGACGAAACAGTTTTGCGGGCGAAGGTGTCGCCACCGATGGTGAGCGCGGCTCGCGGATGACGCCAGTGCGAGACGCGGCCACCGTTATGCACGTGGCCGTCGTGAGGAGGACGGTCTGCGCAGAGAAGTCCTCTGATACCGTCAGGCGGCTGCCTCGGAGATGAAATTGTGGGTCGATCCGGAGTCGAGGAGTGCGATGAGGGACGTGTCGCCCAGCGCGACCTGGATTTGCATCGTGTCGCTGAAGTGGACACCAGCGATGGCGTGGAGCGAGAAGTGGGGGCTCGTCTCGGTGTCGCCCTCTTCAACGTCCTCGTCGTCCTCCACAACGCCTCTAGCAAGAAAAGGCGCTTACACTTCCGGTTGTGGCCCCGGGCCAACTTCTCGCCGCAATTGTAGCAGAGGCCCAAGCGACGCTGTTCCTCTTGCTTTCGGCTCGGGTGAGGCTCTTGACCGGCCGGCCCTCCACGGTGACTATGGCCGGGGCGGTCGAGGTGGTCACGGGCGGTGCCGGCAGAGCAAGACAAGACGCGGGCGCGCCGGTAAGAGTGCTTTCGGGCGCCATGGCGAGGTGGAGGCGCCAGCAGATCGCTTCCCGCAGCTTCGAAGCTTGTGCACCAGCTCATAGCTCCGGCGTGAGGGATCGCGGATTATGCACCTCGACGTCGGCCGAAGCGGCGGTTGAGGCTCACGGTGAAGAGCCGGACCTGTTGTTCCTCGTCCAGCGGGCCCAGCGTGAGGAGGAGCGCTTGGAAGCGATCTCGGTACTCCATGACGGTGTGCCGTCTTGCTTGCACGCCGCCAATTTGCTTGGCGGGTTCGAAAAGAGAGGAGGCCCGTGAGCGCAGTGCAAGAGTCCTTGAAACGGCGCCACGACGGAATTCCCTTGTCTCCGCCAGATCTCTGGATGTACCACATCCGGGCACCTTCCTCCAAATTGTAGAAGGCCATCCAAACCTTCTCCTCCTCCATGATGCGCTTCTGGTGGAAGTAGGATTCACAGCGGTTAATGAAGATGAGCGGATCGGATTTGCCATCATACTGCGGAAAATCCAATTTCTGGAACCATGGCGGCCGGTCCTGGTGGTGCTCCCCTATGGCGGACTTGTTGTCGGAGGAAGACGACGTCGGTTGGGTAGCGTTCAGGCGTTGGATCGCCTGAGAGTTGGCATCGACTGATGCCTGCAGAGACTTGAGGGTGGCGGCTAGGGCGTCTAGAGTAGCCTGTAGGCGGCCTCCCGGTCTCCCATGACAGCGGCTTGGTGAGGGGTGGGCGGGCCAGACGTAGCTCGGAGCGGCGGCGGAGGCGAGGATGATCGGCGAGGCGAGGAAGGCCTGGATCGTGATACCAGGTTGTCAAGGACGTCAGGTCCGAGACTAGCAGGACCCCGACTACGGAGTTCGTAGCTGCGACCCGTGGTAGCTGGGCGAGGTTTTGCCCCTCAGCTCCAGTCGGTTTAGAGGAGGAAGAAGAGAGATTAGGTAATGATTCTTGCTTGATTATTATTCATCCTGATTATTCTCATATATAGGCCATTCGGCACTACAAATTGGAGCTAATTGCTCCTAAATCTAAGGCCTTGATCGGCTATTATTTCCTTCTAGCCACTTGCCATTTCTTCCTGATCTGCATGCCTGGAGATCACGCCCATATCTTCAGCATGCGCTACTTTTCGCATGGTGACCGCGCCCAAATCCTCCGTGGCTCTGCGGCCATCCCGGGCGCGCCGTTTCCTTGTATAGGCGTGGCCCCACTTGACAACTTGATTACTCTGCATGTGTGAGTGGATTGGTTCAACTGTTCATGCTGTGTGTGCTTTTGAAATAGTAGGATCGATATGAATCTCATGTTATATGGTGCATGCTGGTACAAATATTGATCCGTCTTGTTATTTTGCATTGTATCATTTCACTTCTCATGATATGGGTATATTTCAGTATGGAACATTCTTAATGTTTTCAATCGGAAAGAACTTCTGTGTAGACAGCAATTTCTATTTATGTGAAATGAAGCATTGTGTTGTGCCTTGTTCAAATTCTTTATATCGTGAAGTTCTCACCTCTATTTTCCTTGTGTCCTTTGTATTATGCAGTTTGTAGAAAGTGTATTTATAACAAGCTCAATGATGAGGATCTTGACCACTGTCCAGTATGTAACATTGATCTGGGCTGCACTCCAGTCGACAAGCTTAGGTATTTTTCTCCTGACCCTTCTCTTTATGCAACTGTAGTGAGCAACTGGAATTTTTGTTCTATGACAAATGTTTTGCTTTGCTAAATATTCTTTTACTTTTCTTACTTCTAAGATAAGATACATGTTTCAGCACTACTTGACTTCACAACGAAGTTTCCTTGATTTCGTGCCATTAGCATCTATTTCCATTGGATAGCAAGATGGCAGAACAAAAGCTTTGCCACAAAATCATCGTATTTGATAGTTGCTCTAAATTGCAGATAGTAACGAACAAAATTAGATAACGGAGCTACAACTCTACAGTTTGAAGTAATTTAGAATTTAGAGTGATCTTTTGGAAATGTTGCACTCCAGAGAATAGTAATATTCTCTGCTATCGAGCATACTAGCTTATCTCAAGTATAAGATATTCCTGTAGCTTGCTTTCTTGAATCCTCTGAGGTTCATGCCAAAGAAATGCATAGTGGTACGAAATGTTCCACTTACCATGAAGCTCTCAAATAAGAATTCCTGTGAATCTCCCGCCAGAAACGCATTCTGTGATTGACAGCTGGTGTTCATTCTGGGTGTCTTCACATCCGCTGTGTTTTCTGGGTGTCTTCACATCCATTTGTTCTTAACAAAGTGTAGGTTTCTATTTATGAGACTTCACCGTGTGTTATTAAGTCAAAGGAATGCTTGTCTTCTGAAACCCAGTTGAATGTTTCTATTGGCTATTTGACCAAGATAGTTTCCCTTTCTTCATCATGCTACTCTTCTGATTTAGGGAAGAATTTCAGTGGATGCAGTTTTACCTGTTAGCTTCTATCTTTTGCCCTCTTATTCTAACCTTTTGATGTATTGATTTCAGAGCTGATCACAATATACAAGATGTGAGGTCAAAAGTTTTTCCATTCAAAAGGAAGAAGGTTAACGCTGAAGAAGCCGAATCTCCCATTACGCTACCTGTTAAAGTTAAAGAGAGGTCTATCTCATCATTGGTGGTCAATACACCTAGGGTAGCCCCAGCAGCTTCGACAAGGAGGCGAACAAGAGCGGTTACCAGGAAGGCTGCTGCATTACGTGGCCTTGGTCCTATCATTGTGGATCCTTTAAAAAAGGATAATGATAACTCGAATAAGCAAACTGATAATTCAAGCTTGCTAGATAGCTTGAGCAAAATACCTCAAACAAGAAGACAGGTAATCAAATACTCGAGCATTCTAATTATATCATACCCTGTTATGTATCTTTGGAGTATGCATGAATGTGTATCAGAATGGAAGAATGACGAATTTGACACTAACATTTGCAGTTATTGTCGAATGGGGACACATCAAGTCATCCCTCTGTTAAAGATAAAGCAGGTGATAATAAGGACTTGGATAAGTCTGAGCTCTGGAAACCTTTGAATTGTCTTGTAGAGGCTGCAGGCAAAACAAAGACCCCGACAAGTGCACAAAGTCCAGCTTTGAAGGGAAATAAGCCCAGAGAATCTCCCAGTAGCGAACATTCTAGCAGAACAGAGGCTAGGGAGCCTCTTCAGAAGTCCAAAGCTGAAGATGACAAAAGCGACGATCCTGAGCCAATAGTGCTGCTTAGAAAGAGAGGGCGGCCTGCCCGGAAGAGGAAAGACCCCCTACCTGAAACAAATGCAGCTTCCACTGCTACAGCTATCCAGGCCAGGAAGGCATTGAGCCCAATATGGTTTTCATTGATTGCCTCGTTTGATCAGTAAGTCGTATCATAGTATCAGCTGTCATACTTTAATCGAAGCAATATATTAGATGTAATCCATCCCTGATCTTCTGTTACATAATTGTTTCCAGGAAAGGCAACCCTCCTTTGCCTCAGATACCTGCCCACTATTTGAGAATAAAGTGAGCTCATATTACTTTGTTCTGCTACTGATGCACTAGTGGTTCTGATTTTGATATTAATAATTTTGAAACCTGCATCCAGAATTGAAGTTCTTGGCATTGAATCATTATCGTAACTCAAAGTGGCCATAGAACAAGTTATTCTATGGCTAGCTGCAGAACAAACTTCTCTATATATAAATAAAAGAGAAGCATGAAGCAGGGAAAAGGAAACTAGAACATCTGTAAGAACTTAGAAATGAATACTACTATGTTTTTCATTGGTCATAGCTGATGGTGTCACCCACAAATGCATGTCTCAGCCTAACTTAAATACATAATGCTAGTAACCTCGAAACTGTAACCTGTGTGATGCATAAGACTACATTTTTTTTTTAATTTTCAATTTAGCTATCAATTTCATATTTTTTTGGTCCCTGGAATCAAATAGGGCGGTTAGTCTGTTAGTCAGGGGCTTCTTAACTGCTCTCACTCCACAATGCATTATATGCAAGCACATTAGTTAGCTCAGCTGAGCACGTGTGATCCTCAGTAATAATCTAGAAACATCTCATAATTTGATTGTGACCACAATGTCGCTAGCTATTTGTTTTATTTAACTAAAGAATCTTTAAGTTATATCAAATGTGGCTAATACATTGCCAAGTGACAGGGATGGGAGCATACCCGCATCATCCATCCAAAGGTACATTATGCAGAAGCTCAGCCTTCTAAGCGAATCTGAGGTAAGATTCCTACCATTCTATGTTTTGTAGTGACTATTTTTTTCTGTGCTTACTTTTCTTAACGCGTCCTGAATTATCTAAGCAGTCCATAGTTTTTGTAGCTAAAGATGCTTCTTAGATAATTGTTGGCACCGATACATGTTGGCATGTTCCAGAATTGATTACATCTCATCTTAGAAATAGAGGTGAAATTACACGTCTGATCTTAGCGTTTCTTATCACCTTGTATGGGAGCGATGCCATGGCACTGGCAGAGATAGTCCGTCTGTTCTCTCCGTTGCAGTTAGGATGTGCATTTCATACGCAGAAAGTCCTATGTCCCCACTGTTTTAGGCACCTTTCAGTTTTAATATTTCTTTTAGCGTTACAATTTGTCTGAACAGTTCTGTTTATACAGGTTGAAATAAGGTGCTGTGGGCAGACAGTGAACCTCGGGCAACCTGTGCGCAACTTGGTGGAGCGGTGGCTAAGGGTTGGCCCGACACGCCCGCTGCACACGGTGATAGGCTCCTCTGGGGGAGATTATGTGATGGTGATAAGCTATGGGCGGCCAAAGTCTGCGTCTTCTTAAAAACGGACCGTCAAATCGACCTGGCTGGCGATCTCGTAGTTAGAACAAAGGTTGCTCCGCCGCCAGGGAAGAGGCCATCATCAGAGTTAAAGGGTTTGAGTGTCATATATACTCAGCAGTTCATCCTCTCACCGATGCTTCTAGATTATGCTCTGTTCTTCAAGAATCTGTTTGTTTGTTCGTTCGTTGTTACCATACATACATATGTGCTGAAAGTCGCTGTAATTTGGGATTTGGTAGGCTGTGAGAATTGACGTTTAGGTTGGATAAACAGAGGCGAGATTGTTAACCTGAACTTAGGTTGGCGATGAGTTCCTACATGGGAGAGTGTTGCTGCTTCAGTTTTTTTCCTTGTTGAAGAAAAAAAAAACATAACGTAGTTCCTTTATTTGTCCTGAACTAAACTGCCCTAATATCCAGCTGTGACTGGTTCGGATCTTTATATATATACCCTCTACAATTACATTTTCAGTATTGAAGGTTTGCAATCAGATGCTGTATTACACCATCTCCGGCATGTCCAAATGGTACTTGTAGCATCTTTGTTCAGTCATGCACATGAAAAGTTTTGTGGGGTTTGCTATTCTCTCTCTCAAAAGGTGTACTAGCAGATCTTGAATTCTTGATAGTGATGACCACATTGCCTTTTCTGACCGTCCGGCCGGCGATACGCTGCACAGCCTGCAGAATCTGCATGCGTTTCAGTTTCAGCACGAACAAAATGCATGAACGCGGCCAGTGAGCCGGAGGGCGTTTCTGTCCAGGTTTATTTTGGTTGCAACCGTTGACTGGGTGAGCAGTTGGGGAATTGTGCTACCTCACCCAACATGCAAAGCGTCCCAGCAAATGAACTGAATTTCGAGTGGCTACGTTCGAAATCTATCTTTTTTTTTTGCTAAATTCAAACTTAAAGGCGTTTCTAACCCTTCGTTGGGAACTAGCACAAGTTTGCATCGACCTAGGAGGATTTATGTATTCTCATATAAGCACAGGAGTACAAAAGATTACATGAGGCCCGGCCAAAAACTAAACAAGCGTGGGATTTTTGTCTGGCTCACGCAAGGCCACCAGACGTCCGATTGCTATGACTATGGTCAGGATGTTTTGCCTGGCAGGGAGCTGCCAGCCAGGTCGTCGTTCAAATACGTAGGGCGAGTTTAGGTTGGCAAGCAATCCTGGCCTTAGGCATCCAACATCAGACGCCTCCAGCCATGCCTAGGCCAGTAAGGGTCTGTTCGGCAGGACTGAAAAATATTATTCCGGCTGATTGTTGTGAGAGAAAAATACTGTTCTGGCAGGACGTGAACAGTGATTTCGTGAGGTGGCTGGCCAGCCAGCCGAACACTGCCTAAGTTTTTGGAAGCATCAAACCAAACATGCCCGTAGAGTGTAGAGATGCCAATCAATGACCGTTGATGCAATCTATAATTTTTATGTATTTGGGATCCAAGATCCCTTGGATGCATGGAAGGAGGGAGGGCCAATGAAAAGAGAACAGGAAAATTCTTCTTGCAACACAACATATGAAAGGGAAAATATTTGCTCAAACTACTTTCTCGGTGGAATCGTGAAGACCCCCCAAGAAAAACATAGTTAGGAGTTTTCAAAAAATCTAAAACGATGCACATCCATAATGCACCTATAGATATATATTGCTGCTAAATTTGAGATTCAAACTCATTTTGTAAAAAAAAAACATTACAAAAATAACAAATTTCAGCTGTATATATGCACCAGGAGATAGAGCAATAAACTTGCTGAAGTTTATCCTAACGGTCAGGCGCCTGGACGTTCAGCCCTAGGCCCGCATCCTGACGTAGCTTCCCACGCCTGCTCTGTGTTGCACGCCCCGCCCGCTCGGATTCCACGCTGCTCGAACGATTCGCCCCACCCACGCCGCTCGCCCCCATGCAGGCCCATGCCATTCGAACATCACCAACATCGAGAAGAGGAGGAGACACCGAGGCGAGGCAACAGAAGGCGAGGAGGAAGATGCAACACCTGATCTACTTTTGAAACATCCAAATAAAACATTTGCAACATACGTTCGAAACAGTTGAAACACTTGCAACATACGTCTGAAAAACTTATAAAAACTTATAAAAACGCTTGAAAAAAGCCATTGCAAAATATATGTAACATCCAAATAAAACACATGCAACATATGTGTGAAACACATGCAATATCTAGATAAACACACTTGCAAACATACGTCTGAAAATTTTCAAAAATCTAAAACGATGCGCATCCATAATGCACCTGTAGATATATATTGCCGCCAATTTGAGATTCAAACTCATTTTATAAAAAAATATTACGAAAATAACAAATTTCAGTTACGATATGCACTAGGAGACAAAGCAATAAACTTGCTGAAGTTTATCCAAAGAATAAGAAAACAAAATTATCTCGGAGCTCCATCCTATTTTCCCTCCACTCAAAAAAAATGACAACACATTATAAGAGAAATTAAACGTCAAAATATATTTTATATGACTCTATTTTTGTCATTGAAATAAAAAATAGTACTATATTATGTATTATAAGAGAAATTAAGAGTCAAAATCTATGATTTTTTTTCGTAATTAAAATAAGCTTATATTCCGAAACGAAGGTACACGGCAAAGACTAGTGGAGCTAGCTATCAGCGGCACCGTACACGGGCGATTCTAGCGAAGGGCCTCCGTTTTTCTATTCGTATATGGTAATGTGCAACTGAAACACAAATGGTATAAATAAATGAAGAATATATAATGCTAACGGTTTAGTTACTATTTGTGGTTCAAGGAACGAATAGATATATCCCAACTTGTTTATATAGTGTTATAGTACAAAACGGAACTTTGTTTTTTGTTTTGATTGTGTAACAAAAAAAAAATGGAAATACAGATAGTGGGCCGCCATGCCCACGCGGACACGCCGGGATCGATCAAACAAGTCAAATACGGCCCAGCCCTCAACATGCAAAGCTCCCAACTCGGCAAATGAGCTGATTAACTCCGTAAAAAAAAAGACTAAGAACAATCCCCAGATCGAGCGTTGTACCTGCTGCTGTTCTAGAAATTGCTTGCGCCGAGTCCTCAACGGCTTGCTTAGTTGGATGGATCGACAGGCTTGCAAGTGTGAGACCCAACTAATCTCAACGAAATCACGAGCATTAGCATAACCGCCCAGTCCATATATTTTCCTGGCTGCCTAAAAACTAAAGCTTACCGGAAGCCATATACACTGCTGAGGAAATGATCTAAGAGTTCAACGCAAAAGGAGGAAATAAAACTAGTCTTTGCTGCCACAGCACATTTTGCATTGGCAACTTCACTTAGTATATCAGCCCCATACACCGCTGATGAGGAGGAGGATTATCGATGCGTGATGACATGTGAAGGGATCCAGCTGCTCATCAAGGGTTCTCGATCTCCTACATTGCGCAAGGAGATCCTCATGCATGGCCTCTCTGCAGGTTTCAAGAATCAAAACCCACACCACAGAAGCTGTATGCATGCAAGAGCACAGAGTAACCACTGAAAGTACGTATCAACGATGGTGCCAATTCCAAATGAGAGTGACATACCTTAACGCCTCCTTGATCTCACCGTCCGCAGCGCCTCCTTGATCTCATCATTCGCAGGGTCAAGTTTCAGCGCTTCCTCGAACGCAGCAACCGCTGCTCCATACTTCTGAGATTATCCCCATCAGATCATTTCATCATTACAAGTGCAGCTAGAGATGACCAGACTAAGTTTGATGTAATGTGAGCTATATGTGTATATATATATACACCTGGAGCAAGCTGAGACCTGCGCCCTCGTGGTACCATGCCTTGGCCCAACAAGGACGCAGCTTTTGGCATTGCTGAGCGGCGAGCACAGCTCGCTCCCCTTCTCTCAGCTTCAGCAAGCATAGGCTCAGGTTGGCGAATGAGGTGGCGTCACGCGGGTCAATCACCGTTGCCTGCATGATGAACAGTGGTGAGAATTTGGTCATCTCATGGTTCGTTTCAGTTACAGTGAATTGAATTCGATTCAGCAGCTGGTTCTGTTCAGCCATCTCATGTTAAGGCAAAATGGAGGCCCCATCATTATTCATGTCTCTTTAGCGTTATGATATTCAGAACTAAATAAATAGCTATTGTTGTGCAGCATTTTGTATCACCCCAACAGGTACGCGACATATTTTGGTTCAAGGATATACCCGCGTATAGCAGTCGACGGCATTACCGTAGTCGCCATTTGCAAATGCTTCCTTTCCTTGTGACTTTGCATTAGCTATTGGTTCTAGTACCATCTCCTGCACCGTCTCATAATATAACCACGGCAGCACATGTTCAGTTCCATGCATGACACTACTAATACAGATTCTGACAGCAGTTTGCAAATTTTTGTTCCTATATTCAAATCATGGAATCATAATCATGCATCTTTCCTCTATTATCTTGGAAAAGTGTGCTAATTAACATACCCGAGGTAGATTCTTCATGGTGTTAACAATCCCATCAACGGTCCAGTCTGGCATGGATGGAATTGGATTTGTTTGAGGGAGTAAAATTTCAACAAGCTTACGGCGCTCATGAGCAGCTGCTAGTATGATTGGGAACTTCCCGTACTGCATTGTATTTGAAAAAATCGAAGTGAATATTTATGAAAGCTGAAATGATATCAACAGTTCAGGTTCTTTTTTTTTTCTTAACAACAACAACAACAACAACAAATACTTTAAGTCCCAAACAAGTTGGGATGTGCTACAGTTGAAACCCAGCATAAGCAATCAAGGTTCAGGCACGTGAATAGCTATTTTCCAAGCACTCCTATCTAAGGCCAAGTCTTTGGGTATATTCCATCCTTTCAAGTCTTCTTTTATTGCCTCTACCCAAGTCAACTTCGATCTTCCTCTGTCTCTCTTCACATTACTATCCTGGCTTAAGATTCCACTACGCACCGGTGCCTCTGGAGATCTCCGTTGGACATGTCCAAACCATCTCAACCGGTGTTGGATAAGCTTTTCTTCAATTGGTGCTACCCCTAATCTATCACGTATATCATCGTTCCGAACTCGACCCCTTCTTGTATGACCGCAAATCCAACGCAACATACGCATTTCCGCGACACTTATTTGTTGAACATGTCGTCTTTTCGTAGGCCAACATTCTGCACCATACAACATAGCAGGTCTAATCGCCGTCCTATAAAACTTGCCTTTTAGCTTATGTGGTACCCTTTTGTCACATAGGGCATCAGATGCTTGGCGCCACTTCATCCACCATGCTTTGATTCTATGGCTAACATCTTTATCAATATCCCCGTCTCTCTGTAGTATTGATCCTAAATATCGAAAGGTATCATTCCTAAGCACTACTTGACCTTCTAAACTAATATCTTCCTCCTCCCGAGTAGTAGTGCCGAAGTCACATCTCATATACTCAGTTTTAGTTCTACTGAATCTAAAATCTTTGGACTCCAAAGTCTCCCGCCATAACTCCAGCTTTACGATTCACTCATGTCCGCTTTTATCAACTAGCACTACATCGTCCATCGAAAAGCATACACCAAGGATGTCCCTTGTATGTCCCTTGTGACCTCATCCATGACTAAGGCAAACAGATAAGGGCTTAAAACTGACTCATGATGTAGTCATATCCCAATCGGAAAGTCATCCGTGTCTCCATCACTTGTTCGAACACTAGTCACAGCATTGTTGTACATGTCCTTAATGAGCCCGGACGTTGCTTGGGACTTTATGTTTGTCCAAAGCCCACCACATAACATGCCTTGGTATTTTATCATAAGCCTTCTCCAAGTCAATAAAAACCATGTGTAGATCATTCTTCTTCTCCCTATACCGCTCCATAACTTGTCATATTAAGAAAATTGGTTCCATGGTTGACCTTCCGGGCATGAAACCAAATTGGTTCATAGAAACCCGCGTTATCGGTCTCAAGCGATGCTCGATAACTCTCTCCCATATTTTCATAGTATGGCTCATCAACTTAATTCCCCGATAATTAGTACAACTTTGAATATCCCCTTTATTCTTGTAGATCGGTACCAATATACTTCTCCTCCACTCGTCAGGCATCTTGTTCGATCGAAAAATATGGTTGAACGGCTTGGTTAGCCATACTATAGCTATGTCCCCGAGGCGTCTCCACACCTCGATTGGGATACCATCCGGTCCCCATCGCCTTACCTCCTTTCATCATTTTCAACGCCTCTCTAACCTCAGATTCTTGGATTCTCCACACAAAACGCCTATTGGTGTCATCAAAAGAGTCATCCAACTGAAAGGTTGTGTCCGTATTCTCACCATTGAACAATTTGTCAAAATACTCTTGCCATCGATGTCGGATCTCATCCTCCTTCACCAAGAGATGCTCCCTTTCATCCTTAATGCACTTAACTTGGTTGAAGTCCCTTATCTTTCTCTCACGAACCCTAGTCATCCTATAAATGTCATTCTCTCCTTCCTTCGTACTCAAATATTGGTAAAGATCCTCGTATGCTCTATCTTTTGCCACACTTACAGCTCGCTTTGCAGTCTTCTTTACCACCTTGTACTTCTCTATGTTGTCCACACTCCTGTCATGGTACAAGCGTCTATAGCATTCTTTCTTTTTCTTAATAGCCCTTTGGACTTCCTCGTTCCACCACCAAGTATCTTTAGCCTCGCCTCCACTTCCTTTGGTTACTCCACACACCTCTGAGGCCACCTTCCGAATGTTGGTTGCCATCTTCTCCTACATGTTTATGTCCTCTTCTTCCTTCTAAGAGCCCTCTTTGATAACCCTTTCCCTGAATACTTCTGACGTCTCCCCTTTCAGTTTCCACCAATTTGTTATTTCAATCTTAACTTGTTTATCCCTACGGGCACGCACCTGAAAATGAAAGTCTGCCACCAAAAGCTTATGTTGAGAAACAACACACTCCCCTGGTATCACCTTGCAACCCAAGCATACTCGTTTGTCCTTTCTTCTTGTGAGGACAAAGGCAATCTGGCTAGAGTGTTGTCCGCTACTGAAGGTCACTAGATGAGATTCTCTCTTTTAAAAAAGTGTTGGCTATCATCAGGTCAAAAGCTACCGCGAAGTCCAGAACTTCCTCCCCCTCCTGATTCCTACTACCATACACAAAAACTCCATGAACTGCCTCAAAACCTGCGCTTGTAGTACCTACATGCCCATTAAGATCTCCTCCTATAAAAAGCTTCCCACTACTAGGCACAACTCTAATTAGGCCATCTAAGTCTTCCCATAACTGTCTCTTAGCACTCTCGTCGAGGCCTACTTGGGGGTATACGCACTAATTACGTTCAAGACCATATCACCAACGACAAGCTTGACTAAGATAATCCTATCTCCTTGCCTTCTCACTCCCACCACACCATTCTTGAGGCTCTTATCAATCAAAACTCCTACTCCATTTCTATTTACGACCGTCTCCTCTGGTACCAAAGCTTGAAACATGTATTATCCACCTCCTTCGCCTTCTGACCCTTCCATTTAGTCTATTGAACGCATAATATATTTACACGTCTCCTAGTCGCGGTATTAACTAATTATCTTAACTTACCTGTAAGCGACCCTATATTCCAACTACCTAAACGGATCATAATTGGTCCGACTAGCTTTATCCTTCGCACCCGTCGACTCAGATGTGAAGACCCTTGCTCATTTTTCACTACACCCGGGTGCCGATGTAGCGCGCCACTAAGGAAGCGACGACCCGATCCTCACTTGACACCATGCCCAGATCGCGACACGGCGCGACACCAAGGGGGTGCCGACCCGGCCCTTACCCATTTAACACCATACCCGGGTTCCGATTTTTTTTTTTTGAAAAATAAGACATTCATGAATTCACACCAATGAAATACAGAGTCCAATATATTGTTAAATAACTACATAGAGCACAATTTTAAGGAAAACTAGCAAAAGTGCTCCCTCTTAAATCCAGTCAGTGATCAAGTGCTGGAAACTATATATATGCATGCCTAGACTAGTGTTTTTAATAAGTAGAATAATTTCAGCAATATGCTCTGGACCTACAGGCACTACTTAAGCTTTCATGACCACTCAGCAAAAGCTACGACTTGCTAAATATATGTAGAAACAGCATGAATGATTTTTTATGGGGAGTGAAACTAGCTCAGAATCCCAGAGAGTTTCAGTGCTTGACCCTACTGTACCACCCAGCCATTGGATATGCAACGCGCGGTGAGAATGTGGACATCAGATTAAAGCATCAAGTAAATAAACAGCAGAGACAATGAAAGAGCCCTTATTACCCCATCATGAACATTAGGGTCAGCTCCAATCTCTAGCAAGAAATTGACAACGTCTGCTGAGCCAGCGCCAACTGCAGCTAATAACATAGTTGGTCCAGGTGAACTATGGAAGTTCACATCAGCACCAGCCTACAGAATTGATAATACAAGTAGCTTTAGCGAACATGTATGGCCTACAAACATCAGCATGCCATGATCAAGAAGTTTAAGTCAATAAGTAACTGGACCTCAAGCAACAGCTTAATGCATTTCAAGGAGGCACCAGCGCATGCCATCAGGAGCGGAGTAACACGACGGATAAGTTTATTGGGCTGCAAAGGACGGAAGTGAATAACAGTTACAATATGTCCAGATCAATTCTTAACCCAATCTATCATCAAGACTAAGGAAAACAATCTTTTAGCTGATGTCCTTTTAATTGCTTACATCAGCACCATGCTCGAGCAGGATCTTCAGAACCTGGTCATGGCTGTTCCTGCAGCCAAGTGCAACGGCGTCCCATGATGGTAGAAAGGATCCACAGGAACACCTTGGACAGCAGCAGTCTTATAGCATCACTGTGCCCTGGAGGTACAAAGAGATACACAGAATGCAGAAACTCCAAAAAGAAACTCCAAAGACCTTGTACATACGCCCGCTTAGGACAATTTCTGTAACGTCCTATTTTTTTTAATGAGAAATTTATATTACAAAAGTAATTTCTTCAGTGATATATGAATCCATTACTGTTAGCGTCAACTGCATGCTGCTAACCCATGAAACTTCACATATATCGGAGGTGGTTCAAACTAAAAGAGCTTGGCTGACTGTAATCATGAAACAAATTGCTTTGAATTGGAGGGACTATATATAGAGTATGTCCTTTGTACAGGGGAAAATATATGGTGGAAACCACATCTTCGGTGGATAAACTATGAAACTTGGCATATAGATATGCATCCACGTGTGTACTCACATGTAAATGATGGGATGCAAACTCAATCTGTTAGCATGAACTACATGCCGGCAATCCATGTGACTGCTGGGTCAAATTAAAAGTTCAATCTCTATTGACTCTATCAGTGAAACAAGTTACCTATGGAATTGGTGGGATTATGCAAGTAATAGTGAATAAGATATGTGAAAAAAAACTTTGTATAATTAAATACACCTAGCTAATTAATCCCAAGAAATCGCAGAGATTGAAGGGGGCGAGAAATGAACGCACCGTACTGCGCGGCATTGTGCAGGGCGTGCAACCCTTGGCGTCGGGTGCAGCTGGGTCGCCGCCGCGGCCGAGGAAGTAGGTTAGAAGAGGGACGACGCCGTTCTCGGCCCCGTTCAGTAATCTGGAATCGGTGTCGGTGGCGACGAAGATGGGCGTCTCGCCTGCAGGTGGCCGGAGAGTAGCGTCTCAGTCTCAGACCGTGGCTCCGGCCGGCGGCCGTGCTCGTCCCTGACCGAAAACAAACGAGCAGAGCTGGGGATTTACCTTCCGTAGAGGTGGAGTTGGCGTCGAAGCCCTTCTCCTCGACCAGGAACCTGCAGACGTCCAGCCGCCCTGTGACGCAAGATCCCTCCACGGCGAGGTGGAGCAGGTTCCGGCCCTTGAAGCCCCTCAAACGACGCAAGTCCACAGTGCTCGCCATTTCTGCCAAAAGCAATGGAGAGTATGGTACAGAGGAGAGGATCAGATAGCACTTTCCGACGAGGAGAAAGAAAGTGAGGGGAGGAGAGATGGGTGTGCGTTGACGGGGAGGTTGCCAGCGACGACGGCGGCATTGACGGGGTTTCGAGAGGTTGATGATGCATGGATTCACGAGGGTTTTAGAGCATCTTACTCATCTAGGTACTTTTTAAAATAGATTTAATAAAAAAATATTATAGCACTTTAACAGACTCTATAAAGGATGGCTAGTGAGGTGGGCAATCCAAAAGCAGAGAGCAAATGAGGTGGAATAGAGATCTACTAAATTTGAAGAGTCATTTACACGATTTGTTGGAGACGTTTTTCCTTCAACAATAGACATATTTATCTTTAGAAAATTATTTGGCTAATCTTTTAGAAATGCTCTTGCAGAGAAGAGAGGAGAGTCAGCAAAAGGGATGGATGGAAGAACTGCCATAGATCCGGGGATGTCAAAGGTCTCTAAGCAAGATTTTTTTTTTTCTATTTTCATGTTTTTCCTAAACAATTGAACTGCTCGTGTTAAATTTCCATATCATTCCTATGTTCCAACTTCCAACAAAAGTCACCATTCAACAATTTCACTATTCAACATTCTGTACTTTTAGTGGTATCTTAAATCACCCTTCCCCATCAAATCTGAGATATTATGTTATCTATCCACGCTATATGTTATTTAAGATAAGATAATTGTTGGATAAGAGAAATACATATGAGAGAGATTTTTTTTGGTTCAGATACACCCTATACGGCGACCTAGGGGAATTAATTTTACCATACCTCTTGGAGATTCTCGGCTAAGTAAGACTCTATTTGGCATAGCTTCACCACCAACTTCATAAGTTGTTTGATTTTTTTCCATGCAGCTTCACTCATAGAGCCTCTAAAAATCCTACTCTCATGTATGAATAAAATGGGATAAAGTTGAATAGTAGCTTTTATAGCTTTATCGGCTCTCACATGTGGGCCCTAGCAGGGACGAAAGCCGCATTTGCCCTGCTTGCGGAGAGAGCGCGCAAGCTCGCGCCGCCAGTGCTCGTGGCTGTTGGGGCTCAGGCTCTGGGGCACGGCCACCGAGGCTCGCCTTTGCCACCTGTGCAACGAAAGCTGCCATGCAGAGAGCGTCGAGACTCATGAGGAGATAAGGAAAGAGATAAGGCAAGCAGGGGAAGGAGAGAGAGAGAGACCTGTGAGGAGACGAGGAAAAAGAAGAGGAAAAGAAAAGCTAAGGGAATTGTAGTCATTTTATTGTTTTGAGCATAAGCCGTTTTGCCAAACGGTTCGCTAAGCTCTACCAGTAGAGTTGTTCGTTGAGCTAAAGCTTTTGACTGGTGAAATTGAACTGTGCCAAACTGTGATAAAATCTCTATTCTTGTGCAAGGTTAGACTGTGACGGTTGAGATTTCTGTTGTATATATAAGGTTTTTAACTTAGATATACATTATGCTTAGATATATATAATAAAAGTAATGTATTAAAAAAAGTAAACCGTTAAATAATTTAGAACTGAGTAGATTAGTTTAGTTCTATTTCGTAGTTAGCGTGTCCAGCTAATTTTTAGCATGCGCCAGCCACGAACTAGATAAGGCCGTGCATGCCAGAGTGAAGGGCGTGCGTGCTCACCCGTCGTGCGTCGTGGGAAGGGACGCGGCACTAGTCATGGCCTGTAAAAGCCCTCCTTGCGCCTTCCTTTCAGTTTTCTACCTAGCGTTCGGCGGATCGGACGCGCGTTTTCGCTGGCCTGCGGACCAGGTCTGACCGGTCTATATTAAAAAAATCTAGACGTTTCCACCGGGACGGAACCGTCTCGTGCCGCATGCTTCTGCGCCTCACGCCCCGAATCCTCACGGTAGACCCGCCTCGTGCCGCACACCCCGCTCGTGCCTCGCGCCACGCGTCACCCGCGCCTCACGCTGCGCTCCCCCATGCCCGCGTCAACGAGTCATCATTGAGCGGCAGCAAGTAGATGAGCACATGTTGCAGCCGAATATTTGATGCATTTTAGATATATATTGCATATATTTCATTTGGATTCCGCAAAAGTAGATCTGGTGTTGCGTATATTGCGATGACTATACACGTATGTTGCAAGTGTATGTTTTAAATGTTTTAGCTTTTTCAAACATATGTTGCAAGCGTTTCATCAAATGTTGCATATGTTGTAGTGGCTATACCCGTACGTTACAAGTGTGTTTTCCAAATGTTTTAGCTGTCTAATTTGGATGTTGCATATGTTGTAGTGGCTATACACGCATGTTGCATGTGTATGTTCTAAATGTTTCAACTATTTCAGATGTATGTTGCATATGTTGTAGTGGTTATACATATGTTGCAAATGTATGTTTCAATTGTTTCACCTAGTTTTAGTATGTTGCAGAGGTGCTGCTCCCCACGCGCTCTGACTCGCAGGCACGCAAGCTCGGTACCCACCCATCCAACGTTGCCTATCTCTGTCATGCGAGCCAGCTCCAATAGTCGGACGTGCACGTAATGGACGGACAAAGGCCCAAATGGTCGAGCACTCCTAGTCAAAGTGCATGCGCGCGCATGTAGAGCGTGAAAGCTCTAGTTTGGTTTTGGTGAATTGATGAAACCCTAAGTGCTAACCTAATTTATCAAGTGATCATGAGATAGGTAGCACACTCCGAGTGGTGAAGCAAATGAAGATCATAGCATGATGATGATGGCATGGTGATGATCAAGTGCTTCGATTTGGAAAAAAGAAAGAGAAAAACAAAAAGCTCAAGGCAAAGGTATATTTTGTAGGAGCTATTTTGTTTTGGTGATCAAGACACTTAGAGAGTGTGATCATATTTATGATTGATAGCCGTACTATTAAGAGGGGTGAAACTCGTATCGAAATGCGGTTATCAAAGTGCCACTAGATGCTCTAACTCATTGCATATGCATTTAGGATCTAGTGAAATGCTAACACCCTTGAAAATATTTGTGAAAATATGTTAACACATGTGCACAAGGTGATACACTTGGTGGTTGGCACATTTGAGCAAGGGTGAAGAAGTTAGAAGTGAAATGGAGTTGGTCGCAATGATGCTGGCGTCGGTCAACTGACCGGACGCTGGGTCGCTCTGCGACCGGACGCTGAAAGGCTGCGTCCGGTCGAGTGGTCGAACGGGCCTGATGAGTGAGGGTTAAGCAGACTGGGGCGTGTCCGGCCAAGCATAACCGGACACGCTCGATCGGCAAAAAACTGGTTTTGGACCCTTATCGTAACGCAATCGACGCCGAGGGTTCAGCGTCCGGTCAGCTCTATCGGAGCGTCCGATCAACATTTCGACCGTTGAGATCAAACGTTCACTGTTGAACGCAGGTGACACGTGGCATTATCAGCGATCGGACGCCGAGGACCGCGTCCGGTCAGCCCGATCAGTACCCAGTGAAGGGGTACAATGGCTCTATTTCGTGGGGGCTTCTATTTAAGCCCCATGGCCGATTCAAGCTCACTCCTCTTGGCCATTTGCATTGACATAGCAACCTTATGAGCTTAGCCAAAGCCCTCCCACTCATTTGCATCATAGATTAAACATCTTTGTGAGATTGGGAGTGATTCAAGTGCATTGCTTGAGTGATTGCATCTAGAGGCACTTGGTGATTGTGTTTCGCTATGGGATTTCTCTTGTTACTCTTGGTGGTTGCCGCCACCTAGACGGCTTGGAGCAGCAAGGATCGTTGAGCGGAGGGTGGTGATTGTCTCCGGCTCCGATCGTGGTGATTGTGAGGGTTCTTGACCTTTCTCCGTGGAGCGCCAAAAGGTACTCTAGTGTATTGCTCGTGGCTTGTGTGATCCTCATCTTGTGTTGGTTATGCGGCACCCTATTGAGGGTTTGGCGCAGAAGCCAATTAGCGCGTGAACCTTCAAGTGAGTGTATCGCCACAACGAGGACTAGCTTACCGGCAAGCAAGTGAACCTCGGTAAAAAAATCATTGTGCTCATCATTGATTCCGAGGTGATTGGTCTTCATTGTAATTCATCCTTGTGATTGATTGGTTCCTTCCTCGACAACACGGTATAACCTTCTTGATCACTCTCTTTACATTACCGTAAAGTAGTTGTCAAGCTCTTTAGTGTAACTAGTTGTGAGAGCTTGTTAGTATGGTTAGTGTAGCTCTTTAGTTAGCCTTTGAGAGCACACTAACATAGAATAGTGTCATAGCTATTGTGTGAATAGATTCTACCTAAACTAGAATTGTGGTAGGTGGCTTGCATTTTGAGTAGGCTAGCACAAAACTCGCTTCGCCTCATAATTGTCTAATCCTTTTGTTAAGTGTTGTTGTAGAAATTTTTATTAGGCTATTCACCCCCTCTAGCCATTAGGACCTTTCAAGTGGTATCGGAGCCGAGGTCACCGTGATTTGAGGCTTAACAACCTTCGGTGTAAAAATGGCTCAAATCAATAACACCAAGAAGCCACCCCAATTTGATGGCACAAATTATCTATATTGGAAATCAAAGATGACCACACATATCAAGTCAATCAATAGAAGAGTGTTGAAGGTGGTAGAAACCAAAATTGAGATTGAGGATCCGGAGAATCCCACTGCGGCCGAAGAAGTGCTTCTCCAAAACAATGACATTGCTCTAAGTGCTATTCATGATGCAATTGATGAGAGAACATTTGAGCAAATCAAGAATATTGAGATGGCTCATGAGGCTTGGAAGAAGTTGGAAGAATCATTTGAGGGTACTCAAGCCGTGAAGGGTGCAAAGGCATACATTCTCAAAGAGAAGTTTGTAAGCTTCAAGATGAAGGAGGATGAGAGTGTGCCGGAGATGTTCCATAGACTTCAAGTGCTTGTCAATGATCTCAAAGCACTTGGAGAAGAGGTGAAGGATAAGGACTTCTTCCACAAGTTCTTGAGATGTTTGCCTTCAAGATTTGGAACATTGGTCACTATTCTAGTGAGAAGTGGTTTGGACACCATGACACCAAACCAAGTGTT